ACAGGTGCCACTTCACGGGGGAGGGGGCGCCCACACGACAGGCGTCACAGCGCCATAACCGATAAAGGCTCGGCACCGCCGCATCCACCAACGTAAGGTAAGCGTGGCCGAAGCCAGCCGGGTCCGAAGTGAAATGCCAGCCCAGTTCCATGTAGTCGCGGCTGACTGGGGTGCTGGACGCCTCAAATCAGCTGGCCTTCTGGCTAGGCTTGTAAAAGTGTAAAATGCTAACTCACTGCTGGCAGAGTTTGTGTTTGGCTCAATACTTGTTTTTGGAGGCAGAAATGTGGACGTATGTTTTCATGAATGTGAGTTGTCGGGCAGTTTGAGAATGTAAAACTTGCTACCAAAACTCCCTTGATAGCTCACAGACTCTTCCAGCCTGGCTGTTTCTTCACCGATCGTAGCGCCCCCTACAACTGACCCAACACCTGACAGTACCCTCCCAGCTGTGCTGGCACTGACATTGTAGCTGGGAATATTGGATAATGGTGTCCATTATTACACCTAGGTATACTGAAAAAGAGAAAATATAGACGTCTGTTAAACGCCATTGAATTTCCTGTAAGTTCCGATTCTTCTCTTTCATCATAAGAAGTTAATTTTTTTAGCAAATCATTATACAAATATAACGTTGCAGGAATATTACTCGTAACGTGCCTTGGTTACAAAAAGAAGGTTTTTCCACGCAAAAGAACACCATTCACTTCATATTGGCATCCGTGAATTTACATGATACATTTACAAAATTTTCTACTGACATGCAACGATAAAAAACAGAGCTGCGTCGCCTTCATACACCTCATTTGCATAAGCAGGCAAGGCACATGCTCTTTACCTGCAGCTGTCCCCTGGCCGGCCACAATAGTTGAATCGCCGGCAGCGAAAGGTCAATTGCAAATCGTGGCAGCTGACGTAGTGCACTATATACCGGAGCCTCACAAAGTGTGACATACTTAGGCTCATCTGAGGTATGCCAGAACGGAAAAATAGGCTGCTGCCGCGACCATCAGTGACGGAATTAGAGGGCGAGCTGGCGGGCGGGGGCACGCCCCCCCCCCCTTTGGGGCTCTAGCCGGTGTTGGGTAGGCATGGCTGACTGGACGGTCGCAGTTTTTAGCACAAAACGCAAAAACTGGACGTCTTTGGGTCTGCTGGCGACTAGAAATGACCACAAGCGAAAAGAAAGGACCTTTAAGTAGACAAAAATAATTTTTCGCTGACTCAGAGGGTGCAGCCTGGGTAGGCTTTAGGGCCCGTTACGTTGTCCAGGGGCTATACACTGGCGCCGCGAACCCTTTATGTGCACTTGCCGGGGCACTCTGAACGCTAAGGATCCTAAGAACACTTGCCGGGGCCCTATATACATGTTCACTCTTGAACCGGTCAACTTGAATCGGTCAGGAACGAACCGGCATACCCGCCGATTCATTCTTGACCGACCAAGATCCCTCCCGGATTCTTCCCATTTGCCCGAGAGGTTCTATACGCTATCGCCGCAGGGAGGGGGACGTATGTTACCCTTACGGGACAGTCTCGGATGCCCCCGACGTTGTATGACCAGCCCCTTAGCGAGACCCGGCGCTGACCGACCATGATGGGCTGATGAGCACCTTGCACCACTGAGCACCGTCTATTGACGCAGATACGCAGAACAGAACACAGAAGGCATTGCATTCTCACTGCATGCATGTGGCTGACAGATATGCTGTTCTTACGTCGATCGCGCAATGTGCTATGCATCTAGGTATGTTCATTTGCGTACACTGCCACTAAAAGTACTGTGTCGGGCAGAAACGGGAAGATTGTCGGCAATTAATATTTCTACATGCCAGTTGTACTCGTTGAGTTCATGACGTGTTCGACACGTCCCAGCATTGTGCGGTGCCCATATCCAACGTCTCAATATCTTCCCACCCATTTCAGATGCCACCATGCCCCTCAGCATGTTCATCGGGCTCGTTGTGCTGCTTGTCGTCTTTTATCCGGAACAAACAATTCTCACTTCAAATCCAAGCCCCACACTAGACGACACCGTTATTTTGTCATCCCTTTTCAAGACAATCTCTCCGCAAGACCGGTATACAACCGCTCAGTACAGCTGTGCTAACGTGAGTCCATTTCTACAAGCCCTTCCCACGGAGAAGCTTCTACGACGATATCGCCGAAGTGCATCACCGAGACGTCGTCGCAGACGTCGAAGACATAGGCCCAGACGTCGAAGATATAGGCCCAGACGTAGACGACATAGGCCGAGGCGCCGTAGACACAGGCCCAGGCGCCATCGGCACAGGCCCAGGCGCCAGCGACACAGGCCCAGACTCTATCGACCGAGGCCTAGACGTCATCGACATAGGCCCAGGCGCCCTCGACACAGGCCCAGGCGCCATCGATCGAGGTCCAGACGTCATCGATGCAGGCCCAGGCGCCCTCGACGTAGGCCCAAACGCCCTCGACGTAGGCCCAAACGCCCCCGACGTAGGCCCAACCGCGGTCGACGTAAGCCCAAACGACCTCGACGTAGATCCAAGCGCCCTCGACGTAAACCCAAACACCCTCGACGTAGGCCCAAACGCCCTCGACATAAGCACAGACGTCCTCGACGTAAGCCCACCCCCCCTCGACGCAAGGGTAGAAAACACAAAGGTCGGAACAGTATACGACGAAATGGGCGCAAGAGCAAAAAACGAAATTCATCCAAGCCAAGCATTCGTCGGCGAAGACTGAGGCAAAAAAGGGGTCGGAGAAATAGGCTACGACAAACTAATCAAACAAAACAAAATAGAAAAGGTATAACGGGACGGAGACAGAAAAATACGAGGGGCGTACTAGCTAGGGCCGCCCAAAGGATCAAAACATTCTTCGCTGATCTGAAGCGATCCCCTTCCAAAAAGACAGCACAGTCAAAATCCAGCGTTGGCAATAGAACAAAAAACAAACAGAAGGCACCACAGGGCGACAATAAAAAGGGGGCGAAAGGACTACCTAAAACTAGCATTTTAGGCAGAGTTCAGAAATTCTTGAAAAGACTGTTTCGAAATTCTACGGTTCAGAGGGGTGAAAACAAAGACGACGGAAGAAGGTCAAAAAATATCCCCGGTCTAAATGGCAAAAGAACATCAAGTTTTCCGACAGGCCGAGATGAAGAGCCGCAAGGAAATGGCGGAGGAAGTCCGATCACCTTCAGCTTCGACTTCGGAGGGAACTCCGGTGGCGATGAGCCATCCCCGGCGGCGCCTGAACCCATCCATCCTCCTGCGGCAGAGCCTGAGCCCTATTACCGTCCTGAAGCAGAACCTGAACCTGATTACCCTCCTGCGGCAGAGCCTGAACCTTATTACACTCCTGAAGCAGGAACAGAACCACAGACATCGGAACCGGATCCAACCGAAGAACCTTCATCTGATGCAGAAGCTGATCCGGCCGGTGCTGTGGAAACGGAACCCGACACTACTGACGCCCAAGAAATAGAATCCGCAGAATCCAAGAATGCAGATGGAGACAAACGGAACAACACTAGCAGCGCAGGACTGACCAGCATTAGAAATTGCTCGACGCAGGATGTTTGCGACAAAAATAAAACCTGTCATAAGGCAAACAGGACACCAGATGGAAACCAGACGATTTTGGCCGAAAATAACATTACTCGGTGTAATGAGACGCGCAAACCACCCGCAGGGCAAACACACGCCCCGCTGACGGCGCGGCGAGATCAGACCACGAAAACATACGGCTCCCGTCAATCAGATCAGGCGGCTATGATACGGTCACTGCAGATATTGATCAACAAATACTTAAAAGAGCTCGGATATGAGCAGTAAGATCGTTGTGGAGCTTACCGCCAGCAAGACATTGCAGCCTCAAAAGAAACCGTTTTGTGTGATGAGCGTCAGGCTGTGACCAACTGCATGCTCTGCTAGCTGTAACTATGCATTTAGCATCTACAGCTAGCTGTACTCGCTGAGTCCATGACATGTTCGAAACGTTCCAGTATTGTGTATTGTCCATATCCAACGTCTCAATATCTTCTCACCCATTTCAGATGCCATCATGTCCTTCAGCAAGTCCATCTGGCTGGTTGTGCTGGTAGCCGTCTTTTATCCTGAACAAGCAATTCTCATTTCAAATCCAAGCTTCACATCAGACAACGCCGTCATTCTGTCATCTCTTTTCAAGACAAATTCTCCGCAAGAGCTGCACCCAACCGCTCAGTACAGCTATGCTAACGTGAATCCATTTCTACAAGCCCTTCCCACGGAGAAGCTTCTACGACGATATCGCCGAAGTGCATCACCGAGACGTCGCCACAGGCGTCGAAGACATAGGCCCAGACGTCGAAGACATAGGCCCAGACGTAGACGACACAGACCCAGGCGCCATCGACATAGGCCCCGGCGCCATCGGCACAGGCCCAGGCGCCAGCGACACAGGCCTCGACGTCGACGTAGGCCCAAACGCCCTCGACGTAGACCTAAACGCCCTCGACGTAGGCCCAAACGCCCTCGACGTAGGCCCAGACGTCCTCGACGTAGGCCCAAACGCCCTCGACGAAAACCTAGACGTCCTCGACGTAGGCCCAGACGCCCTCGACGTAGGCCCAGACGCCCTCGACGTAGACCTAAACGCCCTCGACGTAGGCCCAGACGCCCTCGACGTAAGCCTAAGCGCCCTAGACGTAGACCTAAGCACCCTAGACGTAGACCTAAACGCCCTCGACGTAGGCCCAAACGCCCTCGACGTAGGCCCAAACGCCCTCGACGTAGGCCCAGGCGTCCTCGACGTAGGCCCAAACGCCCTAGACGTAGACCTAAACGCCCTCGACGTAGACCTAAACGCCCTCGACGTAGGCCCAAACGCCCTCTACGTAGGCCTAAACGCCCTCGACGCAGGCCCAGACGCCCTCGACGTAAGCCCAAACGCCCTCGCCGTAGGCCCAAACGCCCTCGACGTAGGCCCAAACGCCCTCGACGTAAGCCCAGACGCCCTCGACGTAAGCCCAAACGCCCTCGCCGTAGACCAAAACGCCCTCGACGTAGGCCCAAACGCCCTCGACGTAGACCTAAACGCCCTCGACGTAGACCTAAACGCCCTCGACGTAGGCCTAAACTCCCTCGACGTAGACCCAAACGCCCTCGACGTAGGCCCAAACGTCCTCGACGTAAGCCTAAGCGCCCTAGACGTAGACCTAAACGCCCTCGACGTAAACCTAAACGCCCTCGACGTAGGCCCAAACGTCCTCGACGTAAGCCCAAACGCCCTCGACGGAAGCCCAAACGCCCTCGACGTAGGCCCAAACGCCCTCGACGTAAGCCTAAGCGCCCTAGACGTAGGCCTAAACGCCCCCGACGCAGACCTAAACGCCCTAGACGTAGACCTAAACGCCCTCAACGTAAGCCCAAACGCCCTCAACGTAAGCCCAAACGCCCTCGACGGAAGCCCAAACGCCCTCGACGTAAGAGTACAAAACAAAAAGGTCGGAGCGGTAAACGACGAAATGGGCGCAAGAGCAAAAAACGAAATCCATCCAAGCGTCAGCGAAGACTGAAGCAAAAAAGGGGTCGGAGAAATAGGTCACCACAAACTAATCGAACAAAACAAAATAGAAAGGGCAGAACGAAAGGAAAACCGAAGAAGAAGAAGAGCGTACTAGCTAGGGTTGCTCAAAGGATCAAAAAATTCTTTGCTGGTCTGGGGCGATCCCCTTCCAAAAAGACAGCACAGTCAAAATCCAGCGTTGGCAACGGAATAAAAAACAAACAGAAGGCGCCACGGCTCGGCAATAAAAAAGAGGCGAAAGGAAAGCCTAAAACTAGCATTTTCGGCAGAGTTAAGAAATTCTTGAAAGGACTGTTTCCAAGTTCTAAGGTTCAGAGGGGTAAAAACAAAGGCGACGGAAAAGGGTCCAAACATATTCCAGGTGTAAATGGCAAAAGAGCATCAAGTTTTCCGGCAGGCCAAGATGAAGAGCCGCAAGGAAATGGCGGAGGAAGTCCGATCACCTTCAGCTTCGGCTTCGGAGGGAACTCCGGTGGCGATGACCCATCCCCGGCGGCGCCTGAACCCAGCTACCCTCCTGCGGCAGAGCCTGAACCTTATTACCCTCCTGAAGCAGAACCTGAACCTGATTACCCTCCTGAAACAGAACCTGAACCTGATTACCCTCCTGAAGCAGAAACAGAACCACAAACATCGGAACCGGATCCGACCGAAGAACCGACATCTGATGCAGAAGCTGATCCGGCCGATGCTGTGGAAACGGAACCCGACACTACTGACGCGGAAGAAACAGAAGCCGCAGAATCCATAAATGCGGATGGAGACAAACGGAACAAAACTGGCAGCCCAGGACTGACCAGCATTAGAAATTGCTCGACGCATGAAGTCTGCGACAAAAATAAAACCTGTCATAAGGCACAGAGGACACCAGATGGAAACCAGACGACTTCGGCCGAAAATAACAACACTCGGTGTAATGAGGCGCGCAAACCACCCGCAGGGCAAACACACGCCCCGCTGATGGCGCGGCGAGATCAGACTACGAAAACATACGGCTCCCACCAATCGGATCAGGTGGCCACGTTACGCTCACTGCAGATATTGATCAACAAATATTTAAAAGCGCTAGAAGATGAGCGGTGAGGTCGTTGTGGAGCCTACCGCCAGCAAGACATTACAGCCCCGAATGGGACCGTCTTGGTGTGATGAACGTGAGGCTGCGACGGACTGCGCTGGATTGAACTAAATTTGTGTCTGCCTGTTCGGTGGAGTCGAACGTTCACAAAAATACACACAGAATTGACATGTTTAAAAGTTCACCAATTGTGACACTTGGCAGATGTCTGCTGCCTGGAAGCCAAGTGAAATCCGTAAATAAGAGCGGAACATTTGAATTCGGGTCACACGAATATTCGACGGATATTTGGATCCGGTGAATGTTTGAATAGCAAGGTCCGTATGCTGGAAACATTAGACAAGCTACTGAAAAAGCAGAATATTTTAAAAAATATACTCAAGGTCACTTTTGGGCCCAGTTGGCAGCAAACGTTCGATGCCCCTGTGGCCGAAGGCATGATTTCCGGTATTTGTTGTCATTAACGCCTGGTTTTAGTTTAAGAGAGCGCGAACTGCACCGCGAACTGCGAACTGACCGCACTGGTGAGGTGACTCCTGAATGAGAATGGCATACCAGAGCGCAGAAACACTGCAGGGCTACGATCGGATATCCTGCAATGCGGTACACGCCATCAGTTTCAGGAGAACAGTCCACAGTTTGGTGTCGTGCACTGAAAAAATGCGCTAGTCTTGGTGCTTTCCGTCGCGTTGTCTTCTGATGTTGTAAAAGTGGTAGATTCAGTGCTGGCCTTCGATAGTGGGCCTTGTTCGTGACTCTACGTCATCGCAATGCGCATCGGCGCAAGCTTCGCGTTGAATGCGCCCAGAAGTGTGGTCTGTTTTTGGATTTCGCGTGCTTTCTTTCCTCTGCTCGGCTTCGATCGGGTTCTGGATACAATCACCTCTGTTTGGCCAAGTGTACAGTGGTTACCGAGGTAATACAATCACAAGTAATTGTGCTTTGCCATGAGGCACGCAGTTTGTGCAGTGCATCAGCCGGATTCTCATCATCATGCACATAAACGCAGCATGTCGTGGGGGTCTGCTTGTTGGATGGAGCACGGTCGGTTGGTCATGCATTACATCGATGAGGCACGCATTCTCTAAGCCTCTAAGCGGCTTGCTAGCGGTTTTGCACAGCTGAGTGTCAAAACCAGGAACGTCACGCGCACTATCAACCAACAACGCTAAAACATAATATATGCTACCGAACAGGTAAACAATATTTCGACGTTCAACTGGTCAGACGTAGTTCATCAACAGGTAACTATCGCACGCACAAACAGGTAACAGTTGTCCAATAAATCAAACGACTTGCCACGAGTACCATTCCCGATGGCGCCACGTAGCTTGAAGTCCCGATTTTTTTCGCAGGGTGTCTAGTTAGTCTATCTGCTCATCACTGCCCACCCATCAGTCACTGTCCACACAACGTTTCTCTGTCACCATACACCATACCCAACAAACGTATGGTAGGATCTCTCCGCAACAAATAACATATCTGCCCCCACCCCCCTCCGCCAGCGTTGGCCAGCCTTAAAAGGTTTACGACCGGTTCGTGGGTCTGCCGCCCACTCAACACTGGCCCAGACTGTGCCTCTACACTCGCCACAGACTGTGCTTTTACACTCGCCACATACTGTGCTTTTACACTCGCCACAGACTGCGTTTTCACACTCGCCACAGACTGTCCCTCCACACTCGCCAAAGACAGTGCGACACGCTTGGTAATGCCGTCAAACAAGTCGTGTAGTCTTGGCTAACGGTGCTAATGACGCGCTGAAATTACAGGACCAGGGATACCAGCCGATGCACTCGTGCATTTCTGTCCTCTCAGCGTGGCTTTAAGTCATCCGTGGCTAACGTTACTCGCGGAAACCCCACGTGTTACTCTGACAAATATATAAAACCGTTCACTTCACGCACTGATAACACGTCCGCAGCTCGACCTCCAGTGAACCCGGTAATCACATTAGATGTGAAGTTGTTCGCACGGTATGTTCCTTGCTGTCAACTCGTACAAAAATGACACGTAGGATCTGAATTTAACATCAAACCACCCACTCACATAGGGATATACAATCAAGACTCGATATGTTGATTCGTTTCGTTGGGATATGTCTAGAAAGCGGGGTGGTCAAAAACAACACGTACAGCGATGGTTCGACTAAAGCCATAAAGTAGCTGCGTCGCAATTTAACGAAACATCATGAAAGTGTTTCGTCTTGGCAAGCACATGGGTCCACACATTCTACCGCGGTCCCTCCCTAACTCCAGCCTCTAAGCAGCTAGGCTGACCTGGATGCAAATCTGAGTCCACCCAAATAAACAACGGCAGGCGTCAGATCGCGGTGTTCACACCTCTCGCCACGCCCGCCTCTCAATCCCTGACACCTGCCGTTCCGCTGCTGTCTGTCGTTGACCTCAGGTCAGGCAGCTGTCCCGCTGCTGGACCAGAGGCAGCGGCGGCGCGGGCGGTGAGCTACCGCTGCGGCTCGGGCGGGGTGCTTCCATGCTGGCAATCGCTTCCACTGCGGGGTGGTGCAGCAGATCAGGATTATATAAGGTCATCGCGCGCCGAACTCACTCCCTTAGCGTCTCGACAACGCAGTTGAGGGCAGAAAAAACTTTAAGACGCAGCTACAATGGCTTGCGTCGGCCCGAAACTTCAGGGCGCAGCCACAGGGGCTTGATTTGGCCCTAAGGCTTGCCGAGATCCCTAACCACCGATTCTTCAAGATGAGCCACGGCATGAACGCAACGGTTGGCGCCTCATAGTCGACGCCGATCGACCATGCGGCGCAGCTTTCTGGGCTCGCTGCATCGAGTCCAGGGAGGGCGGAAACAGGCATGCCCATCTGTCAGGGAGACGCCGGCTGTATGTACCTGACCAGGCAGCGTTGGAGGCCTCGACAGGTATTCAGCCAGGCGGGGCGCCAGCTGCCAATACACACAAACGACAGGTATAAAATGCGATGCGGAACCGAAGCGCGACCCAACGAAGGCCAAACACAAAAGTTCTGAAGCGCCAGGAAAATTAAAACAGAGCCTGTGCGTTCGATGGAGGTGCTACGTGGACTGAAATTGACAGTTTCACCAAGAAAAACGAGTTCCAGCTGTCTGCTTCAGATTTCAAGGCGTGCATACGGTGCCAATGCGTCATTACGGTTAACGCAAGACATGCACGTGGGCAAGCTCAATAACGTAATGCAGCGTTGGACGACGACTACACATAAAACAAACCTTGAAAACATTGAAAAAACACACAGCATTTAAAAAGAAACATCTGCCTTTTGACATACAAGCCTTTCATGGTTCGGTAGACCCAGCTCTTTGGCTCTGCCATGCGTGCAGGCAAGGTCAGACCTGTACGAGATTCAGGTGCCGAGGCTAACCTGCCACGCGTTTGCTTTGTTCTGTGACCTGGCGAGCCAGGACTTCATTCAGCTGCAGGATGTGAGCCCTCTGCAGTTTATCGGTGGCCGCGCTTACACGTCTGGAACGAGGTTCTGTCGAGAAAAAATCATATCAGATGACGACCCATGGTTGTCCACACGTCGTGCATTGTGGCGAAAAGAACGAAACGACAGGATTTTGTTTTTCTGGTGCAACATTTGCAATATTCTCGCTGTGTTGCGGCACCGTAAGGGAAATTTGGAACCTAGGAATAGAAAAATGAAGGGGTGAAAGAAACTGCCTACCTGTCTATAATCCTTTAACCCATCGCGATCATTGTGTTCATAACGCCAAACAGATGGCTGTGTTAAATAGACCATTTATCCGCAGACCAATCATTGCATTGCTGCTGATAAGTCGCTCGTTAGTCGCTTCCCAGAACAGAGTAAAACACCTGCCAATTCTTTTTCGCGTTATTAATTGCCCAGGGGACTAACAGCCCAGATTTTCCGCTCATATGACCACGACCAGCTGCCTGGCGGCCTATTGTGTTTATGTGCGCGCAGAGCCACCATCACGTAGAAATCATTACTCACCTTCTATCGACATCAATTTATGTTCGCGCCACTTAACAATCTGTCGAACATTGTTTGGTAATCTCCGTAAAAGTTGTGCGCAAAAATGACGTCCTCTTCGGCCGTGCCGTTTTTCCGGCCGGATTTCCCGCTCGGATCCCAACAGCATGTGAGCTGTGCCTCGCTCAGTCCGCTGCGTCGACAAGCGACAAAAGGCAGCGATGGTGTCACTTCCAACCACTGAATACTTACCAGCCGAGCAAATGCTATCCAGAAACCCGGTACTTTGAGTCAGCATTTTCCTGATGGACGCCGCTTTCCGGCTTCTCTGAAGCCGTTCTTCGGCCGTCATCGGCTCCAGCTCCTTTAAAAAATGCATGTGGAAAGGATGCAGCGTCACACAAGTTTGAGGCCGCACACTCGCAAGACGGATTCTTTTTGCCAGCTTGTTCCTAAAATATGCAACATTTCTTGAAGACAGAGAACCTTTATGGCTGGTTTTAATGAAACTTGCTTCCTTTTTCACTCCATTGCAGCCATTAGTATTCAGACCCACATGTGATTTGGTGGCTGCCGTTATAGATGAACAATCTCATCGAGTGCACCACGTACCACTGCGTAGTGGGCATTGATACGAGTTATTTTTCTGAAAACCATTGACCTTCAATATCCTCGAACGTTCAGGTTAAACAACGCTACAACGCAGACATGAAGCATGCTTTGAGAAGACTTGATGTTTCAGGGCAATGAGTGAAGCTGTACACGCATCCACATTTTCTAGGCGGACTGAAGTTTTACGGGCGCGCTCGTCTCTCAGCCGCTCCAGTAACTGTGCCTGTGCAGCGCACATGTTGTGCTTTCTGTCTGACACGTGCTCAGTACGCAACCACACCCATAGAGGCCTGACACGCCCGACGGCGCAACGCCCTAAATCCACCGCGACATTACGCGACAGCCAGGCGCGCTTAGCGCCACCTGATCAGCTCTGCGTAGCGTCTCCTCACCAGCTCCGGGACGTAGCGCTCGGGGATGTGTATCTTCTGCGGCCGCGCCAGCAGCCGGTCTATGGTGTCGCCGTCGTAGCTGAGACCCGGCCCGGGCCGAGTCGCCCGCACTATGTCGGACGTGCTAGAGGCGGATCTCAGATTGGTCCGCTCCACGCGGGGCTCCTCCAGCGACGAGCCGTGCTGAGGGGGGGGGGGGGGGGGGGCAACGGCGGCGTGAGTCAAATGGCGTCCAGTGCCATCACGAGAGCATGAGACATCTAAGGCCCTCAAGACCTGGATTATGGATGTGAGGTTAAAGCTTATCTCTACAGTCCCTGGTCGAGCAATGTCCATGCTGTTGCAGATATTTACATCGGTTCCAAAAGAACTTAGACGATTGAACTAATGCTACGTTACCAAAGTATACGTTATTTCACAACCAGATCAACAATTATATCCTTGAAATATCACCTTGAAATACCGACGGAATGTGCTTTGATATCAAAGATGAAACGGTGGAACACGCAATGAAACTGATTGGGCCCTGGCTGAGTCAGCTCACTTCCAGGAAACCGTACTGCCGCACCAAGCCACCTACCCAGGCAACAGTAGCGTCACCTATACCTGCAGTGAAGCGCCACCTACCGAAGCCGCGGCCGTCGGCAGGGGGCGGGCGCCGGTGACGGAGTGGTGGCGGCGGGGGCGGGGCGACGCTCGGACCGCCGGTACCCGCTCCGGCCCCGCCGGGCGCAGCTCGGGGCTCGAGCCGAACAGGCGCTCGTAAGCCGTCGGGCCGACCGGCGCCGGCCCTGTCGCTGCCGCGGGCGGTGCAGGTCAGAGGGCACGACCCCGGGGTCGACGCGGAGCGGGAGGGCGGGGGCGCTGGCCGTGGCCGGTGCGTCAGTGCATCAAAAGCAAGGTCCTGCTGCAGGCAGCGTACTGCGAGTGCCGTGCACGCGTGCACCCCGCTGCCACCGGTGCTTTGCTGCGGAGGAGCTCACTGTGCAGCATACTTATATGACGGCATATGTAAAGGTGTAGTCGGCATACTGCTATATTTGCAGCCTCGCGAGCTGGGCTAGTGAAGCAAGCAAGGATATAATAAAGTGCAAGTATAGCTTTAACAGAATCGCATAAAAAGCTGTTGACGGTGCAAACTTCACCAACCTTGTCGACGAGGCCGCTCAGCAGTTGGTGCCGTTGCTGGGGAGAGGGTTTCAGTCAGGAAGTCCAGCTCACTGCCCGATCTTCTACAGTAGCCCCTCGGGAGAGACCGTTGCGCGATACAGATGTGGATCCCTTGCCTCGATTTCCTTGGAGACGTCCTGCGGGCCGCTCATCATATGCCTGTGTTGTTCTCAGGAGAAATCGGCCCCCTCATTATCGGCAGAGCGTGGTGTTCTATCCTTTGGCGCCTGTTGTGATTCTCTTTTAACGTTCGGACAGTCCTAACCTCCAGTGTGACCTGTCCTTTGAAAGCAGAGCTGTAACAGATAAGAACGAGTCACCCATGATAGAACAAGTTTGCATATAATAAAAGGAAAGCCATGGTCATATGTGAAATCGGATGAAATAAGCCATTCATTCACCACACAGGTCCTCATGACACAAAATACACAGAATACGTCCACATAACGATACAAACAATGGCAAACCACACAGGACAAAAAACGCATCATTGCAACGAATCATTTCCGTTATTAAGAAAACTGACGTCAGTGCACAAAACACGGCCGCCACACGTCACGTTCACGAACCGTAAAGCGGGCCCATCTCCTCCGTGGGCTTGATGACGTCATCTGGTTGCCGGGGCGGCTCGCGACGATCGCCGTTCTCGATGGCCTGCACGATGGCGCCGACGGACTGGTGGCGCCTGCGGCCGGGCGCGCCGTCGCCCTCCGTCCCGCCCCGGTCGCGGTCCGCCGCCGGCCCGCCAGCCGAGCCGCCGGCGTCCGGGCGTTCGTCCGGAGCCGTGTCGACGCCGTCCGCGCGCTGGTGGCGCTCGACCGGAGTGTGGCGGGCGACTGCGGGTCGGCGTCCGCGGCCGCCGGCGGTCGGAGACTCGTCTGAGCCGTGTCAGATGCCGACGCTCGGCGGCGTGCTCCTGTGGGGTGGGCTGGTCCTCGGCTGGCCGAGCGCCCGCTGGGTCAGTGGCTGGCTCTTCCGTGGCTTGTTCCCCGCGACAGACTGGTCCTCAGCTCCCGCTGCCGCCTCTGCCGGCGCGGGTTGGGGCGTTGAGACACCTGGCCCGATTCTCTCAGGCTCAGTGCACACCGGTCTCTGGGATTGTCGGCCGTCGCCGTCCTCCGGCTGGAGTCGAGGCTCGGCAGCGGTCCGCGACTGCGGAGCTTCCCCGCCCAGCCCGGCGGGCGGCTGACCGCCGGCCTCCGCGCCGCCCTCGTGCGATCTCACCCGATCCTGCCGCTGCGGCTCGCCGTGACCTGGGTCGGTGCCCCCGGCGGGGTCGCGCCGGCGTCCGTGGCCGTTAGCCGGAGCCGGCCCGCCGCTCGTCTGGCCGCGCTGGGGAGCACGGCCTGCCGCGGCGGCGGCGCGGCGCGCCCGGTCGCCGGCGGCCCTCGCCACTCGTCTCGACCAGGCTCACCGGCTGCATGGAGAGGAGCGTGCTGCGTGGCGACGACGTCCGGTCCAAGCTCCGATGCCTGTGTAACGGTGCGATCTGGTTCCCGCGGCCGCAGAGCGCTTCCATTCGGCTCCCTCGGCTGCGTGAAGTTTCGACTCGCATTGTGGTCGCGAGTGAAGCTGTGGCTCCGCCTATGTGGCTGCGTGAAGCTCTGCTCCTGCTGCGTCGCGCGCACCAAGTCCCGGCTCTGCTCCTGCAGTTGCACAAAGTCCCGTCTCATCTCCTGCGACCAGCGCAGGTCGCCGCTCGCTGCACCGCCGTCCTCCTCACCGTCGCCCCGGCCGCCGAGGTCCTGCGAGCTGCGATACTGCCGGAGCGCTGCCTGCAGCCGGCCCTGACACGCGCTGTCAGGCAGCGCTCCAGACGCCCGTCGGTACGCCTCGTAGCTGGCGGCCAGGGCCGAGCGCAGGTCCTGCTGGCTGCCGGCGCGGCGCCGGCTCGCCGCCGCCTGCCCGTGGCCGCTCTCCGCGCCGTCCGGCCGCACCCAGTGCCCGCGGCCGCCGGCAGGCCACTGCGGGTAGCCACCGTGGCGGCCCGGCCAGCGCCACTGGCCGCTCTCGTCGGCCGTCGGCGGCGCCGGCGGCACGTACGGCGGCGGGTCGTAAGGCCGGCAGTACGGCCGGTCGTAAAGCTGGTCGTACGTCGGATCGTAAGCGCCGTTCAGCGGGCCCGAAACGCTCTTGGGCAAGCCGCGGTGTCCGCTCTGCCGGCCAGAGGGCGACAGGACGGGCGTCTGGGGGCCGGTGCTCGCGCCGCTGTCCCTGGAGAGCTGGGCAGCGTTCGGTGGACCGTCACGCTGCGCGCCGCCGGACGGGCGCGCGCCGCCCGGTGGCCGTGTGTGGAAGCTCGCGGCCAGGCTGCCCGCCGGGCGCAGGCGGTGGAGGAGCCAGGTGACCCGACGAGGCCCGCAGCATGTCCTGGAAGATAGCCAACTGGTAGCAATAGCAGAAGCTGAAGTTAAGCAATGCAGCTATCTATGAACCTCATAAAGTGACAGTTTGTTGAAAACGAATTTCTTAAGACTACAGGTTCGATCAGTGGCTGTCAGTCGGCAGATGATATGAACACTGTACTGCGGAGGAGAGAAAGCACATACACGGGACTAGCTGGTTTATTAAGGTTTAACAGAATGAGCAACAAAACGTTACACAACTGTCGATGGGTCTCAGCTAACCAAAATGCTCCGACATGCCATCGTGACCAGTACGCTGGGGAAAACTCAGCGTGCCCTACCTTTTCACTGCTGTGGGTGATGTCGGGGTGATTTACATGGTAAGCTCGTAGCTCCGCAGAGAGAAAGCATGGTAAAAACTTGAAAGGCAAGCCCAGATTAGCCAACTGGCTGCGGAGCTGATGCTATCTCTATGCGTCAGATGGGAATACGCTGTTGCGTATTGGATTGTGGGACACACACGTACGCAGATTTATTGTGACACAAGCTCCGCAAGCCGAGGCACTGGCGACGCCTTTCCACTGGAACTTTACCACGCAACTATACGCAGACGAAGACATGCTGGGCTGGTGCGGTATTCACAAATCCAATTTGTTAAGCTAGTAAGAAGGAAGCTGTCAGTTTAAATTTGCGGCAGCAGCGCCCTATTAGCGCGTATCACAGCACAACAGCATTAAATCCTTCTGTGCCGGGCACTCGAGCAGCATAGTCCACATCAGACCCCCCGGCACCAGGGCTGACGCTGACCCCCGCCGCCCTCGCCGGTCTAACCCGTTCACCGGCCGACACCAGGGCTGACGCTGACTCCAGCCCCCGCCGCCCTCGCCGACCTGACCCGTCCACCGGCCGACACCAGGGCTGACGCTGACCACAGCCCCCGCCGCCCTCGCCGACCTGACCCGTCCACCGGCCGGCACCAGGGCTGACGCTGACCCCAGCCCCCGCCGCCCTCGCCGGCCTGACCCGTCCACCGGCCGACACCAGGGCTGACGCTGACCCGCCCCCGCCGCCCCGCCGACCTGACCCGTCCACCGGCCGACACCAGGGCTGACGCTGACCCGAGCCCCCGCCGCCCTCGCCGGCCTGACCCGTCCACCGGCCGGCACCAGGGCTGATGCTGACCCGAGCCCCCGCCGCCCTCGCCGGCCTGACCCGTCCACCGGCCGGCACCAGGGCTGACGCTGACCCGAGCCCCCGCCGCCCTCGCCGGCCTGACCCGTCCGTCCCCCGGTGGCGTTACCTGGCCGCGGTCGTCGCCGGCGCCGGGCCCGAGCGAGGCGCGCCGCTGCAGCCTGTGGAGCGGCGCCGGCTCGGTGGTCGACTGGCGCCGCTCCTGGGGGCCGCGCCGGCCCGGCTCCTCTGGAGCGCGGCGGCCCGGGCCGCGCGCCGCCAGCAGGCCCTGCACGCGTCGCACCTCCTGCTCCAGCGACTGGACCTGCGGCCGGCGGGAGCGGCGTCACCACCGGCCGGGCCGAGGCAGTCATGCGGACGCGGCAGGACTGAGATCCCGCCAGGCGATGCTCCACAGACAGCGACAAGACGCCCAGGCTGTCAGGAACTGTCTTCCCGCAGTCAAGCCCCATGGATCGTGGTGTTTAACCGCGCGGGTGGACCTCCTATTGACAAGGCCAGCAAGTTATGCGTACCGGTCTAATTTTGCTGACTCCTGCGTGAACAATCGACCTCACCAGACACGTGTCGCCGTGTACACACGCATGCGTCCATCTCAAAAGTGGAGATCCAGGGTCATCCGGTAGGACGGGATGATCCCCGTCGGCTCACTGCACACCATGTCCATGTGGGAGTGCATCCCGGAAGTCTGGACCATCTCTGGGCCCCACAAGTTTCGTATTATGTGTTAAGTTATTGGTTTTGCATACTGCATATTCTGAGATCAAGAGGAGTCCGAGCCCCTTGCTCGAAGGGGAAGTCTCTAGCCCCGACGCACCTCTTGATTATAGTGAGGCTCAGAGTTGTTGGCAGCTCTCACGCGTTCTGAAGACGCTGACGCAGGGACAGCATCTCCCTTTCCAGGCGCCCGTTTCAGCAGCTGTCTCGTTGAGGTTCTGAAACGAGAACACCGACGGTG